CCCCCGGGGGGGGGGGGGGTACTCCCATACATTACCTAAACGGGTATGTGCCGCCCAACGGGGTCGTGATTTTGAGGCTCCTGATTTAAAACGGGGTATCCATTTCAGAGGCGTTTTCTAGAACGGGGTATAAAAAATTGTGGATCGCGGCTTTATCTTCGGCTTAAAATTGTTGCTGATTATGAGGAAGCATTTATTTGATGTATAAGTCGAACAAATAAAGAAATATCTTTTTAAAAAAACAGGGCTATTTCAATTTACAAACTTTCTAGAACGGAGTATCAAAAATTGGCCCATTTCTAGAACGGGGTATCAGTTTTAGGGCGAATTCTAGAACGGCGTATAAAAAGGGGCCCATTTCTAGAACGGGGTATCAATTTTAGGGGAAATCTTTTTTTTGAACGGGTTGCCAATTTGGAGTCCCGGGCGGCACATACCCACCCAAAAAATACTCAAGTGCCCCCCTCCCCCCGGGTTTACGTCACAGGACGTTTCGATCTGAACTTTCCCTAATCAGTGATGATGCAATTCACACAGGCACATGATGATGCACACATTTGCTTCACGTCGTAAATCATGAACGATTCAAGTTTTACTTCACTTTTACAGTTCATTATGAAGTTTTTCACAGATAAATATACAAAATAACTCCCAAGCCGGCAAACTAGTAAAGCAAAGTTAGGTTGGAAGTGTCGGTGAGACTATTTACCATTACTCTTAACACTTTCATGTGTGTGGACACACTTTCATATCTATTTTACCAAAAAGACCAATATTCGTTATGTCTGTTTCGCGTTGTTATTGTTCTAGGGTACTGTAAATTTTGCATTGCACTGACGTTTTTTACGTACAAAATTAAAAGTTCTTTAGCTTTTTAAGTCAGTTACGCTTTGCGGTACACAGATACAACTGTACTCAAGGCCACAAAAACTAAACAAAAACATAAGGGAACTAAGAAGAATGGTTTACAAATATAATATACCGGTAAGTAGTCTTGTTTAAGTATTCTATATACCAGATTTTTACATCTGACATTGAAGGAAAAAAAGGAAATAGTTACAAAAAACAGATAAAGCAACTGAGGGAATTGTGTTTACTGTTTTTGCATATCATAGACATCCCGCAGAGAGCCAATGAAGTATCCACCGAACAAAAATCTCAGACCCTCCTTTGGATTCTCAGTCGCAAAGAAATTAATAACTTCCTTGTCTGTCTTGCCATTTTCGAAGAGGTAGCGGATGTTATCTGCTAAGACCTTTGCCAGTGGGTAGGCATCGTCTGGAAATGGCTTGTCGCTCGGGTCAGTATGCTTTAGTACTCTTTCTTTTACATCATCAAGGGCTTTTCCCATGAAATATCCTTCGATTGCATAATCCATTCTCGTTGAATAGCTTTCGAATTGAACAGAGATCTTTTTCCAGGTAGCAGCCAGTTTTTTAAGATCGTCATAGCTCTTTGCTGGAAGCCCTGCAGCAGTAATAACCTCGTCCAAAACTTCTTCCATGCCCCTCTGGAACTTTGAAATTTGGTTTTGCTTTTCGTCGAGGTCAGCTATTGCTTTGTTTAACTTTTTGATGTCCCATACTCCTAACCCAATAGTCGTGGCGAGACCTGCTAAACCAAACACTGTCGCGGCGATGCTCAAACCTTTTCCCCATTTGTCAAGCTTCGTGAGCGTTGAGACTGAACTAGGTTCTTCTGTTGCTGTTGGCCGTGTTGATTCCGTCACTTGTGTTGGTGCAAGTGGAGGTACCTCGATGTCTTGAAATGCACTTGGCTCTCTTTTTGGTTGAACCCCAGATTTGTTCTTCCAGCAAAGCGCCAGTCCAAGAATTCCCACACCAAGTCCAACAGCAGCACTGGTGTACCCTACAGCTTTACCCACGACAGCAAGGGCTTTTTCGGCTAAAGAACTGTCCAGGTCAGCTTCGATGATTCTCTCTATCTTCTTTACAAAGTCAGTCGGTAATCTGTCGATGGACTTCTTCAGGCGATCAAGATTGGCACAGACCAAATAATAAACGTGATCGTAAAGCTTGCCAGCGTCTTCCACATCTTTTTTTACTTTCTCTAATTTACGTTGCATCTCATCCATCAGATTACCTTCGGCTAAAGTAAAACCCACTCCAGTCCCTATCCCGCTTATTGACAGCAAGACATTAGAAAGTGCGAGGGCTGACATCGCGTCGCTGTAGTGACATAAACATCCAAAACTTGAGCACTTTTTTCCTACATTTATACTGAAATGTTTGATCACGTGCAGACGCATTGACACATATTTTAATTCATTATATAAGGGTTTATTTAAATGCTAATAGTGTCTAGTCGTGACGGAGCACTTTTCTTTTGTTTATGTAAATGGCACAGGTAATGTTACCAGAAATGGTCACCTGTTATTTTCTGCGCAAGTAAGTTCAAGCTTCCACTTCGGCCAACGCTATTTAAAGCAATACTTCATCTAATCAACTTTTAACTCTTACGTTGATTTTGTCTTTTAAGCCGGATCTTTCGGGAAAATATGGTTTGATTTATTTACCAAATATGGACGTTGTACTTTGCTATGAATTTCCCATGCGACTCACGCAATGCTTGTAACATCGATAGTAAACCATTCTACAAACGCCAATTTTACGTCGGCTCCACTTAATGAAGAAAAACATGATTTGAAAGACAGGGATAGATTAACGTGAAAGCTCCCATTGGAAGCATAATAATTCACGTTCCAACGACGGTTTTTCTTCGAATACACGGGTGTGTGATCAAGTTACAGTCTAAAAATAGTGAGAGGACCGAAAAAAAATTCCCTAACTGATAACTTGTCTGATCTTGTTATAAATTATCTGTTCTTTGGCTGTTGTTTATTCAGGAATATGATAGACTTTAAGACAAAAAAAAACTTTGCTTTAAAGTATACATATTCTTTAGAAGATAGGTCATGTCTCAATGATCCTATTCACAGAGCAGACAAGGAACTTCTGAAATGAATCAGCATTTTCAGTTAACACTTTGCCTTATAAGGTCACAATCAGGTGTTCTCGATCATTCCGCAAGTACCAAAGAGAAGGTGGCGGTACAGCGTTAAGAGAGACCTAAGGGCTTGTGATTGTCACAGAATGTCTCTTATAAGCCAGAAAACTGGGCGCCATAAACTTGAGGTTCTCTAAAATAAATAAAAATGGTACAATCGAGCCCCCCTTTACCGACACCCGCTTAATACGGACACCTGTATACAACGGACAGTTTCGTATGTCCCGAAGAAGAGCTCATATATTTTTTCTTAAACTGACTCGCGTATTACGGTCACTGGTTAATAACCACAACGAAAACGTTCCTGCGTCCGGAGGCACAGACTCCTACACATCTTCCATATCGTCAACCCGCTTTACGGACACTGGTTATGTGCGCACTGTCTATATTCATTGTCACAATTATGTGCTTATCGTTCTGTACCAAATAATGACAAATTCTACCGGTTAATACAGGTTTTACTACTAAAAATAGTAACAAAGAACGTTACACGTTTGATTTTGGTTAGCCCGTCTTACTTTCTTTGGTTGACCCTTGAAACAATATTAATATTAATAATAATTAATTAACCCCGACTTTGTGAAATGATAGTAAAGTCTTTCAACTGTGAATTTGTTAAAGTTAATTAAAAGTTAATAATTAAAGTTTTCTCTTTAGTCTTTGTATCGGTATCGGACCCTTACTTTGTAAGCACACTTCGAGATTTAATTAACTGAACGGATCAGAAGCACACTGTTCTTAGATCTCCAGCACATCGAAACCGTTTGTTTTGTTTTGGTATGGTTTTTCCCAATACAGTTTTCAGTTTTACCAAGAAAGGAATTCTGAGAGTTGATAGCAGATTCATCGTGTTGTCGATTTTTTTCGTACTCTAGCGACTTACTACCACTACGACGGCTTCATTGGCTCATGTAACTTCTTTCTTGTTTAAAATTGGTACCTTTTGGACCTATAATGATGCAATTTTTAATTGACAGCGAGAAATATAAAGGGTAGTGATGTTTTGCAAATTTGAGTATATTTAGCCACTGATAACGAGGTGGAGAATTTTTATATCCTCCTTGTATTAACTAATTTGCCAAGCGCAGAATCTTTTTCAACTATGGATTCAGCACTGATAGAACTTAACTGCTGTTAACGTGGCTCACTGACAGTAAAATTAAGCTGCTTAAATAAAGGCTTTTTTTACTGAACCATAGTTTGGTTATTGTGAGAACAAAAGATGCAAAATGCGAAAAGACTCAAAGGAATATTCATATGTGCAACGGAAAATACCAAAAATCAGGAAACAAACATTTTTTTTAATGCGTTAAACACTGGGCAACCAGAGAACAGCCCAGAAGTTTCAACAGTCCTCACAACTCAAGATAGGGAAGAATTCAAAGTCATTTTAAGCCTAACTCACAAAATCGAAAACCCTTCCATGACATTTTACGACAAAAACAGTGACTTAATGGTGCCAGTGTTTTGGCCTTGGTATTAGAGTTGCTAACCTTCTCTTAATAGCAAACGATCGCCGGCGAAGGACAAAGTTAGTTCATCTATTGCATAATAATAATAACAGCTAAGGAAGGGTCTGACCATTAGAAAACTTATGGGGGGGGGGGGGGGGGGGGGTAGGGGGGGGGGGGGGGGGGGGGCGAAGTACAAAAAAAATATTCGCGCAAGGGAAAATTAAATGAAAAAAAAATTCATGTACGTCAATTAATCCTAAAAAGTATTCATGCTATGGCCTAAAAAAAATTCACAGAAGGAATTTGATATCGAAAAAAAAATTCCTGCAGCTCGAAAATTCCCCTCCCCCCATAACTTTTCTAATGGTCCGTCCCTAACCACCGTGAACGTGTTCACCGCAGGTGTAATTCTTCTCATTGCTCTGTTTCCGGAGTTAAATTTGAATCTCTAGGGACAAATCTGTGGCCGCCTGTGATGGAATAAAGCGTGTTTACAAAAGCTCTGTCCAACCAATGTCCCTCAGTCCCCAAAGACCAAGGCAATAGCATGATCACTCTCTCCTTTGTCAATTAACACTTTGACTTTTTCGGCAATCAGTTTCGCAAGAAACGCTTCACCTGCACTGACGTTTGGCTTACCAAGCTTCTTGGCTCACTGAACAAAGTAATATTCCACAGCATGGTACATTCGATGTGAAAGAAAATTATGATGAGAAAGTTCTTTCCATTCAAGTGCCATTTCTTGCAGTTTTTCCCAGGTTCCATTTCCGTCAGGCGCCATCGCAAGAATTGGTCGCAACTTATCTTTCATTTTTTCTTCCAGCTCCTTTCTTCTCGCATCAAAACGTTCTATAGTCTGTTTGCTTTTGTCTCCGTGCTTATAGGCAGAAACATCGTACGCAAAAAAAGGCTAAGTTACCAGGAATTTTCTTGGAAGTTGTCTTTAGGCCATCCTCTCAGTTTAGCCACGGAAGTGCCTAAAGTGCTGGGGAATAAACATTCTGGTAAAAAGTACCCACGATTTTTGCTGTTGACAACAAACAACTTTGTACTGCTTTTCCATGATGAAGTGAAATTGGTATTGAACTAAGTAAAGAATAACAGAGGGATCGAGACTAGGGAAAAAGTGTGACGTTATCCTTACTTTGTCAGACTTTTCCACACTCCCACACCTCTGAGAAGTGTAGAACTAAGTAAAGAATGACAGAGGTTTCGTGACTAGGGAAAAAGTGTGACATTATCCTGACTTTGTCAGACTATTCCACACTACTACACTTCTGAGAAGTGTGGAACTAGGTATAGAATGACAAAGGGTTTGTGACTACGGGAAGAGTGTGATATCATCCTGACTTTGTCCGACTTTTCCACACTTCCACACCCCTGAGAAGTAAAGAATGACTAAGTAAAGAATGACAGAGGGATCGTGCTAGGGAAAAAGTGTGGCATTATCCTTACTTTGTCAGACTATTCCACACTTCTACACATCTGATCGAGAAGTGTGGAGCTTGGGATGAGAAAGGAAGGTAGGGTTATTTCACACTTCCACATCACAGAGAAGTTTAGAAGTAAGGATGAAAAAGGAAAGTAGGGATCTTGTAGCCAGCGCTGGACATTTGTGTGTGTAAACCAACCTTTTTTACTTTTTATACATCACATCTGAGGTGAAACAGTACTATTTATCATACGACCTCGGACAGAATGCAGAATTTCACAATTTTCCAAGACAAATTGCACTCAGTCCATATTCAGGATGATCAATTGTAGGCTTTTATAGCGAAACCGTTCAAAAAATTTCCAAAATCACCTGTACGGCCAGCCGGTTCTCACTTTTGACAAGCGCCAAATTTCTAGTGCGAGCTGTGTAGAGTGTTTGAATGAACATTGAAAGAGTTACGCTTCAACATAATAAAGAATTTATTATGTTTTTTTTTTATTTAATAGTTTTATAACGATGTGTAATCTTAAAAAGCGTTTGATACGCGCGGCAATTTGAGTACTCCTGCAAGTGATGTTCATGAACGACTGAAAACAAACGGCACAGCAATAAAAAGGCAAGAGAGACTACTAATAATCAAAAAGAAATATAACTCGGNTCTACACATCTGATCGAGAAGTGTGGAGCTTGGGATGAGAAAGGAAGGTAGGGTTATTTCACACTTCCACATCACAGAGAAGTTTAGAAGTAAGGATGAAAAAGGAAAGTAGGGATCTTGTAGCCAGCGCTGGACATTTGTGTGTGTAAACCAACCTTTTTTACTTTTTATACATCACATCTGAGGTGAAACAGTACTATTTATCATACGACCTCGGACAGAATGCAGAATTTCACAATTTTCCAAGACAAATTGCACTCAGTCCATATTCAGGATGATCAATTGTAGGCTTTTATAGCGAAACCGTTCAAAAAATTTCCAAAATCACCTGTACGGCCAGCCGGTTCTCACTTTTGACAAGCGCCAAATTTCTAGTGCGAGCTGTGTAGAGTGTTTGAATGAACATTGAAAGAGTTACGCTTCAACATAATAAAGAATTTATTATGTTTTTTTTTTATTTAATAGTTTTATAACGATGTGTAATCTTAAAAAGCGTTTGATACGCGCGGCAATTTGAGTACTCCTGCAAGTGATGTTCATGAACGACTGAAAACAAACGGCACAGCAATAAAAAGGCAAGAGAGACTACTAATAATCAAAAAGAAATATAACTCGGTGAAACATTTACAGAGACAACAATTTTCCATCACGAAGACAAGTATTAAAGTGTCTCTAAAAATCCTGAGTCTTTAAGCTTAAAGATTAAGTTTATGTTTTACGCCGGCCTTCCGGTGTTTGCTTTTTTCAAAGATGATCTCGAAGTCAGAAAATAACTGAAAGTTTTCTTTCTACAGCTAAATTTATAACCAAATATTCTTCGAAACGTTTTATTTCTATCTGCGGTAAGAAAATATATCTACAGGCTTTTTGTAGTTCTGTAAGCTTATATCAAACCTGATACTAGGTCTGATCATTGTCTCAAATCTTACAAACGTGCACCGTAACTTTTAGGGAGTTATTATAACTCCAAAAATGGAGTAAAAATTTAAGGTACAGGATAACCCCTTTTTGGGGTTATTTTAACTCCCAATTTAACTCCGAATTTGGGGTCATTTTTACTCCTGAAAAAGAGTTCTTTTTACTCTCAGTCTGGAGTTAAAACCACTCCGAAACGCGGTTACTTTTACTCCTTACCTGGGTTGTTTTTACTCTTTTTGGAGTTAATTTTACTCTGAAAGTGGAGTAAAAATTTTAGGTACAGGATAACTCCTTTTTTGGGGTTATTTTAACTCCTCATTATCTGGGGTCACTTTTACTCCGGAAAAAGAGTTCTTTAAACTCCTTTTTGGAGTTAACATAACTCCCAAATTTAACTCCACTGTAAGGAGTTGAATTACCCCCACTAGAGGAGTTATTATAACTCCCTGAAAATTACTGTGCGCATATAAACTTCACTTGCTCGACTTCTTGAAATTAGATAGATAGATATATATATATTTTAAATATATATATATACACCCGTTTTCAAAAAGGTTTTCATATAGAGAGATGTATAGATAGATATGTACTTTTGTTTTCTTGCACCCGTGTGCATTTTTCACTTCCAACTTGTGAAAAACTCGGTTCAACGTCGATTTTTTTGTTCCAATTTGAAAAGAACATGTCGTTTTGAGTTTTCTTGTTTTTTTTTTTTTTTTAAATGCATGCGCCCTGCGATACAAATTTGCAATGGCGAATTATATAGCTGATTTTGGGAATGAGAAAAAACATCCCGCGAAGCAGCCGATCCGCAAGTCATACGGCGTCACGGAATTGGTAGGCCAAATGCCATGGCATCTGTAGCAAGTGAGGAAGCATTTTTATTGATGGAGTGTATTAAAAAATACGCTGTCCAGGAGCGTACTTAAGAGAAACTGTAAACTAACTTGAAAGCATTTGTGGCCGAAAGTTTATTGTCTTCAATGAGACGTTGCCTTACAGGCCGTGATTTTACACGGAAAAAGGTGAGACATTAAGATAAATGACCAGCTCATCATGGTTATGATAAAGTCTGCTTCTATGAACCTCGTCAACGTCTTAGTCCGTTTTAATCAACTGCTATAATATTGTTGCTCCTTCCCACATATCCAATATGGACATCCACCCTCACATCTTCGTTCTCTGTGGTTTCGAAAACACATTTTTTTTCATTTCATCTGCGTTGTTTTAAAAATGAAAATCTTTGATGTTTTTTCCCTCAGTCCTGTAACGACAGCAATTATATGACCTACAAGTGACCGAATTCCAACAGCAAGTGGTAACGTTGGCGCATGCGTCAAGCTTGCTGGGAAGCACCAATCTCGTTCCCAGAGGCCGCGATCCTTTTGGTCAGCGACGGGGATCGGGACCTCTGGTCAGATGGGATTTTGAGTCCGCAAATCGCGGATTTCCGGTTACACTGCGCAGAATCAAAAGTAAAACCCAAGATGGCGGATTAAGATGGCGGAGGGAAGTGGTCCAGATCATTCTGGAAGGCGTGAAATATGGATTAGAAAAAGTTGGAAAAGCAAATATTACACTCAAACCGAAATAGGAAGAGATCCTCAAAATAATCGCTTTGACGCAAAAAGATGTCTTAGCCGTTCTCCCAACTGGTTACGGAAAATCGTTAATATATCAAATAATGCCACCCTTGATGGATTATATGGATTCTGGCCAGAGACCAACCCAAAAGAAGTCTATTGTCTTGGTGGTGTCACCGCTCAACGCCTTGATAAGGGATCAGGTAACGAAGTTAAAGCAGAGTGGTCTGAAAGCGTGTATTATGAAAGGTGGTCACATGGAAGGAGAAGAAGAAGAAAAAAAAGAACAAGAAGGATTGGCATTCAGTGCAATAGAAAACCTGAAGGAGTTTCAGTTAATTTTTGCTCACCCGGAAGCCCTTGTAGGCAACAAAAATGTCATTAAGCTCCTGAAGACTGCAGAGTTTAAACATCGTATGAAAGCCATCGTTGTGGATGAAGCACATCTCGTTGTTGACTGGTGAGTGCTACATGTATATGTTGTGGTTTATTTTTTTATCTCAGGTAATTTTTCTTTTTCTTTTGTTGTTGGGTATGTCATTGTATGCCAATGTTTTGAGATAAAAAATTAACTACAACATATATTTAAATATAAAAGCTTATGATGTTACAGGTCAAATTTAATTTCAGGTTAAATTTTTTAGCCTACGTTGATTCTCAGTTTTCTTTGTCCCCTGGCCCTAATTCAACAAAACTAAAAAAATTGAGAATCAACCTACGTTAAAAAAAATTAACCTGAAATCAAATTTGACCTGCAACATAAATCCACTCCAGATAGCATAGTTTAAAGCAGTAGTAATTATAAATGCAGAATTTGTGCAATAAAGAAAAAAACCTGTTTGGATTATTCTAAAATGTTTCATTGTGTGGTTCTAGGAAATAACACTACCAATCTGAACCCCATGGAGGGAATAATTTTCCAATGGTTAAGCAGAAGGTCTATACCTATTACTGTGTTTCAACCCAAATGAAACCTACAGGCAGAGGGGGATAAAGAGATTTTCTTGAAAAACACATTACCAGTATATTCAAAGGTATCCAGTCTGAAAGATATCCAAAAAAGTTATGGCTTATTAAGAGACTGGTGCGGGTACTTTTTTTTAGGAAGGATTTTAGTCTATCCTATGAAAAGCAGGCAACAATAGGAAGCATTCTTCCACAAGTACCATTGCTTGGTCTCACAGCCACTGCTACCAAAAAGACCAGAACTGACATCATTGAGTCCCTGGGCATGGTTAACCCAGTTGAAATCCTTGGAAACCCTGACCGACCAAATATTTATTTCTCTTCATCCTCTAGACCAGACAGAGGACAGGATAAACTAAATGAAATATTGGTCCCCTTGGTGGAAAGCTTAAAGAAGGAGAGAACAAAGTTTCCTTTTACTGTTGTTTTTGGCACATTAGAGACCATTTAATCATGTTATGCCTTTTTCAGCCGAGCAATGGGGAAGAGCAGTATGAACCTGTAGATACCCTGCCCAAGGCCGAGAATAGGTTTACTCAATTTCACGCCCACCAACTTCAAGAAAAAGAAAGAATAATTGATGGCCTTACCTTGGGGAAATCTAAACTCAGGATTGTCTTTGCAACGGTCGCATTAATTGGTGTTGGTCTGGACTTAAAAGATAATAGACAAATAATTCATATAGGGCTGCCGTGTACAATGGAAGAGTACTTTCAGGAGGCCGGTAGAGCCGGTAGAGATGGTCTTCCTTCAAAAGCCCACATCTAATACAATTCATACGATACATCAAAGGCAAGAAAACATTTGTCTTCAGAAATGAGGGAATATTATGTGCAATCAAAGAAGTGTAAAAGAGAACTTTGTAGCTGTGATGACTGTGTGCTCTGTGATGTTGCATCTTTAATGGCTCCCACCTTGACAGATGAAGCCCCTCCATTATCTAATGAAGCTGTTTATCCTTATTCCAAACTAAACATGGAGCAAATAGCCAAGCTGAATGAGGAACTTGTTAAATTTAGACTCTCATTACCTGGACATGGTAGGACATTGGTAGGGAGTCCAAGCCTAAGCAGCAATGTTACTATAAAGTTAATTCGTGAAGTGGCTGAAAATGCACACACATGACTTCAGCAGAAGACATTGAAAAAAGACTTCCTATCTTTAGCCAAAGTCATGCCATTTCAATGTGGAAAATTGTTAAACAATTCCTTCAGAAAGTGTGAAAAACAAAGTCTCAAGTTGTATCATTGGTTTAAAATAGTCAGATAGCTGAGGGTAGTATTATGTGAGTCAATTTCCCATGCTGTTTGGCATAAAGCGTCGCTTCTATATCTGTTGTGTTTATACCCGGTAACAAAAATGTACTGACCATTTAATTTGCAGACAGGTTATAATATGACCAGTAAAATGTGTACTCCAATTAACTTTGTGTAAGTTGAAGCTTATCTGTTCGGTAAGAGAAGTGAGTACATTTTTTGTATTTCTTATAACAGATTCATGTGTTTACACACTTCTTTATTAGACTTAAAAGAGTGGTCATATGATACTGATCAAGCAAAATATCAAATATTTATTTTAATTATTTAGGTTTCATTTCCCACCAACACACTACCATAGTTCTTGTGAAAGTAACCCTTTAATTTGTTTGAAAATGACATATCCATTAAGCTTCTTTTCTATTGTGGTGGAGCAAACCCTTTTTTTTCCTTAACTGAGTGCATGTACACTGTTAAGAGAAACAGTGATTGCAGGACAATTTTTTAACCATTTTTGACACAGGATTATATATTCCAAAGGAAGACCTAAGGTTTTACAACGATTTGAAGTGAAATCTTTATGTGAATTTTATCCTTAGAAAAGAATTACAATAACTGGGCAAACAAGTGGTATTTGATGGGATCATCACTATCTTTTCTTGCTTCTGTCAGGTTTCATGGACTCTGCTAGCCTGTTGATTGAACAAGAGAAATATATTATTTCAAATGTAGCTAAAGGAGACCAGACCTACATTTGTTTACTGTTATGAAAGAGCAACAAATCTATGCAGATTGTGATTTGAGTTTGTCTCAGTGCATTCCTGAGTATAGTGGACATACTAGATTTTGCAAAGTGGTGAAACATAAACCGATAATAAATTTAAAAAATACAAACTTCACCATGATTGTCTTAAACCACCAATAACTTCTTTCTTTCAGTAAGCATCCATTTTCTTATTGGTTG